TTTAGTTATAATATAATGATGAATTAAATTAGTTTAAAAATTTTATTAATAGATTAAATTAATTTGATTTTTAAAATGTTAAAATCCAAACTATTCTACAGTGCCAACACCCTTTGTCCCCTTAGCTGTCTGTCACATGCATGATATTATGCACAAACTTCGGCTTCGAATGCTTCAATCTATGTATCTTCTTGTGCTTGAAAGAAACGGAAGAACAAATCGGGCTTTCTCTAGACCATAATCATAGATTGTTAAACATGATTCTTGATTCTTTCAGCCAAAAGCACCTCCAATAGCCAGCAACATTGCTCTTTAATAGGGACTTCGTGCAGTTTCTGCAAGACTAGTTCTTTAGGTGGGTTTGAGTTTTGAGTGCAAATGCATCTAATTTCATTTATTTACTTATTTATTTTTTATGGTATTTCATTTACATTTTTGCTAACATTAGATTAGTTTTCTTAATGAAAATTTCAAAATTTACCAAAATAATAATAATAATAATAATAATAAAGATATTTTTGCCTGTAGAAACAAAATCCGCAAAAGAATTGTTGTGTAATAAACTATAAAATCCAAAGTGACAAACAATAAAAAGAACCTATAAAGTCCAAAATATTATTTGTCCCATCACATTCCAATAAAATTGTCTGTCATTAATCCATTCTTATGTGAATTAGTGGTCCATCTCAGTTTCCACAACCAGAAATGATTCTTACATTTTACAAAAGGGGAATTATACAGTACTAGTGTAGGGAAAGATTGAAATTTGAATTAAGCTCTAAAGAGACAAGAAACGACACTCTATTTTACTAGCTTTAATTTACTCAAATAGTCCTCTCCATGTTTGGACTGGAGGTCTTTCAAAATAAAACAACTACACCCTTAGCTCATGGCTACCAAGAGATACTTTAAATACTGTTCAAAAATCTCGAAAACTCATTTTAGGGTCGATTCTTTTTCCACTAGGCAATTCTCTTCCCCTAAAACCACCTCTCCTAGTTCCTCTTCCCCTTCCCCTTGTACCCAAGCCTTTGAAAAATGATTTGCCATGCTTCACCTCCACAAGTGAATGAAGCAACTCATCGCAAAGAATGCAACCAACATACAAGGTAGCCCCATCTTCCAATGGCGTTGTTTTCTTATTGAAGTCTACCTGTATGATTGCTGAGTCACATTCAGAACACCGTTCCTGGGTAGTGGCTATCCTGTGAGCACCTTGGGGGAGCATGACAAAGCAATTGCACTTATTGCAATTAAGTCTCCACTTGGGAGCACTTACAGGATCTAAAACAAGTGTCCCACTGCATTCTGGACAAGCACAGACTCCTTGTGTTACTAGAGAATGTCGGCATGTGGGATGTGGGCAGAGGGAGCATGGCATTCCAGCGCCCTTCCCAGGCTTCACAGAACTGCCACTCTGCGTGCCACCAAAGAGAGTGTCTATACCTTCAAAGGGAGGACTATTATAGCAATACGGACACAGAGGAAATGACTTGCCTTCTGGACCAGGCATAGAGATGATCAACAGCTCAAAGTTATCCAGAGGACATGTAAGTTCCTTGAACAACTGCAGAAAAGTAAGAGTTACAAGCTTTAATAATTGAAACCAATCCAACCCTGAGACCTCGTATGTAAACCCATAGAGTCAATGTAACCTTTATTGAAACCAATTCTTTTTAACATCTTTCTGCCATGGTGGATATGATTAACCATTATTTACTTCTATCACACTTGGCTATGTACTCATTATAAATTTAAGAATTTGGCTCAATAAACTTTCAGACTTAATACAATTACCATATTATTCGGTCCAAAAGAATGCTCAAAAACTAAGAACGACATCAAAGCAATTTTTTCAACATGATCTGGTCTCCGAGATAAACATGCAAAACAAGTTTGTCACAAAAATTTATCTATAGATGCATGCAATACCAAAGTAAACCATGCTTATGGTGAGCAGACATAGAGCTTGGGAAGAGCAGTAGTGGTGTCCTATAAAAGTGTGACAGAAATTCTAACACACTATTAATGTTAGTCCGACATGGATCAGCCATTAAAATTATTTTAATCAGTCTCTAAAATCATCTTTCTAGGGTGCTTTGCCTTCAATCTAATGTTTTGAGTGTACCTTGATAGAAGGCAGAGGGAAGAATGCTATGAGATTACCTATTTGCTAATTAAGTAAAGCAAAATACGGAGTGAAGTAGAACATAGATAAACATGTTAGTCCATCCCAACCCTGTTCCTACAAGATTCTTCTCTTCTGCTTTTCATTCAAGCAAAAGAAACTGAGAGAAGTGACCCCATGTTGACTTAGTTTTGTACAATAGTCAACCTTAGATGAACATTTTCTTAATTTCAAAATATATTATGATTTTCTTATTGATATTTTAAAAGTGTGAATCCGTTCAATGCAACTGAACCCAGGTTGGTTACCACCCAAACAACCAAGTTTCAGTTTCTTAGCCATGCTCCTGCACTGCCTCCCCCAAGAATTCCTCCAGCTCAAACATAAAAAAACTCAAACTATTCTGAGATTAATGATTTAGTGAATTCATAAATTCCCAAAAAATACCCCCAAGCAAATATGTTTCCACTTTTTCATTTTCTTTAGATATATAAGTAGTTTAGTAAAGGGTCTCATAGACAATTGAAAGAGCAACAAGAAGAAAGAGACCTAAATCCTGAAATTTATTTATAAATTCTAGGGATCCTTTCACCACGGTACAAGGTGAAGAGGTCAGGGAGGGGACGTTGGGAAGCAATGGAAAGAGATTTCTTCTAGTTATATTATAGACTTTAACTTTATTGAAAGGATATCTTCTAGTTTTAGTGAGATTTTTTTTCCCCTTTCTTACTCTCTGAAGATACCTTGTTAGGTTGCACTAGAAAGCAGGAAAGACTGATAATGCAAGGTACACTATCTAAACAACGTCACATTCATATAAATAGTTAAATACTGCTAAATGTCCTGCAAACTCAAGAAAAATTTCTGCACAAAAAATACCTTGATTGTACCCTTCTGAGGAAGATAATAAACCTCCTCACATGTACCACAATATAAACGTGATGGTCGTGCAGAAATGTATTTCAAGTACCGCAGGCATTTCCCACATTTACTAAAAACCCTTCCCGAGTCAGCAAGTGTAGAAAATTGAGCTTCAAACAAGACATCCATGTTTTCAATCTGAAAAAGTTAAAAGCTAATTGATGGATATTAGAGAAATCAGACTTCAATATGTATATAAAATTTAAACTGTCAGCTACATAACTTTCCTTCCTGTAGCAGTTTAACGAAGTTAAAGAAATATTATGAGTTCAAATAGGCATTTAGCAGGCAAAAACTCAAATTCTGAGAGCTTTAGCCTTATATTTGGACTTGTGGAATACACCTCATATTCCACTTATTTTTAATAAACATTCATTTTGCTGACTTAACAAAAAAGGAAGTCATTGAGCAGGCAGCGTATTCAACAACAAACAGAAATTGCAAAACCCTAGTAGAAATTGTAAAAGTTAATTGATCTCATGAATATCAAATATATAAAAAAAAACAGACGGATATGTTGGATAGGAAAATTTGACTAATAGAATTTTATGACTGATCTTAATTCTATTTCACCCTGCCTGGCTACTTGTGATCTGGACAACTTGACCTGATGATCACACTATGAAATCATTGAAAAGCATTCTTAGCAAACAAATCAGTTCCACACGATATTATCTCAGATACTTTTGAAAAGATAAATGCAATTAGAAAACTTATAATTCGATCAAAAGGTACTCCAGGAAAATCAAATATAAGTACATTTGTCACAAAATCTTGTCAATAAAATTTTAACTTGAGCATCTAAAAGTAACATTGAAACTGCATTAATGTGCCTGACTAATACTAATTGAAGAAAAGACTATAAAAATGGAAAGCACGAATACTCTTAAATATTTCAGTAAATAGTATTCAAAAGTATTTTATACAGTTTTCTCTATGTTCACTCCTCATGGGGTACCTTTGCATACCAATAACATTTTAGATCTACTTGCTAATAAAGACACAGATATTAAAAGATTACAATTTAAGATCCATCTTTCCATCAAAGTGGCAAGACGGAGAACATTGATGATGGATAGCTGCAGCAGTTCATTCATTTTCCATGATTCCTCTATTTCTGTTTTATTTATTTATTTATTTATTTTTGGCTGAGCTCCTCTATTTCTGTTTAGTGGCCTTACTTCCTAACGACATTTCAGAATGAATTTTTCAATTCCCCACTTCAGAATAAACTTTGTATGCTTATAAACCAAACAGTTGCTCCCCTAAAAGGACTTGCTCCATTGACATTGCAAAAGTACCCTCCAAATCCCAACCCCATTTGGAGATAAGGATTCTTTCCATCTTGTAACTGGATAATAAAATCTATACTTGCCCTATTGGCATTGAAGTAGCATTTTTAGGGGCAAGTGTACAGCTTCAAAACATTTGACACATAAGTCTATTTTCACCAACACTGAGCATGTGTGGATGGGGGGAAGGGTTGCAGTTTACTCAGCAACTTAAAAGAAGACCAGTTGGACCACAACTTATGTTGAGCTGATCAAAATACCTCAAATCTAATGCCCAGCTAGACTTACCACGATATTAAACTAACAACTTCAATAACAACAATCAACAGCTTCTCCTTGAGACAGAATTTCTTGGTTTCCTAGAAACCATCCATTTGACAACTTTATATGACCCAGTTATAAATAATGGTCCTCTGAACATAAAAAAGCATCAACTAAGACTGTATAGAGAAAGGAAAAGGAAAAAAGAGCAAGTACCAATGCCAAACCTGCTTAACAAAATAACTATATTTGTTCTTGAATTGTTGGAGCACGTGCTGAACGACTCGAACATGATCTGCCTGACCCTTAGCAACCAAAGTAATCTGATGCTCAATGAAACTGCGTATTTCTGGCAAACAAAGATCTGGATCAATATATTGATAACCTCTTATCAGTGCAATACCTAAAGCAGTTGGCACCAACTTCCTGCCAGATTGCACCTGCAATTTGAATGACAAATAAACAACTAAATCATAGAAATAAACATAAGAATGAAACTTAAGAGTTCTTCAAGGCTAAATATCTGAAAGAAAGTCCATTCTTTGCTTAAACAATATGTGAACCTGCACATAGTTCCGCTCACATATGTTGTTAATATGCACAGGTATTGATGCATCTGTGCCTATTCCATTTTTCTCCATCAGGGAAATCAGCTCACTCTCAGTAAGATAATCAGGAGGTTCAGTATTTCCCTGCAAAAATTTAGATAATCAGGTCATTAACTCTGATTGTTGCCTATACTGTACAAAGGTGAACTTCATCACCTCATATAATTCTACATTTGAAACTTCAATTTTCTCCCCTATTGTAAACTGTGGAAGACGCTTCTCATTTACAGCCAACCATGGCATAATAGATGTGAAGCCTTCAAGTGTAACATGCTGCCCAACACAATGGAAGCATTCTCCACCAACTTTAAACTGCACCTTTTTCCTGAAATATAGAGCATCAGTAACAGATATTTTAGACTGATTTAGCTTAGGGGCACAGATTAAGATCCTTTAAACAAAGTTCATCACCATAATATTTCATAGAGAAAGAAAATGTTTGCCATGTGTCCTTTGAGACAAATTGATTCCCCCATTTACTTGATCTGATACTATATGGTTCTAACATAAGAAATTTGGCATCAGCTTGCAAAAAACAACACAGCCCCATCCCTAATTTAGGATTTTTCTGTTATTTTAAATCAAAATTTCCCTGGATCATTCTCTTGACACCTTCCACTTGTTTCCTGTATTGTCCATGCTGCATGTTTTTCTAAGCATTGATTTTGCATGTAACTCATTACTTCTAAAAACATAACAGTAGAATAGGACTTTTCATTCTCTTAAAGCAAGGAGCAAGTGATGAAGAACACGGTATTCTGAATACCTCTACCCAAATAATCTGGCAGTGTAACTTGGGACATAATTTTAGAATAAGAAATATCGTGATTTGACTTTTATCATTTTACATTGAAAGGTTTGATTTTTCTTTTTCTTTTTTTCCTTTTTTTTCTAAAAGGGTTTTTCTAACCTGTGCCTAGGGGCACCTTTTTGTCCTAAATGTATACAGAAAAATGTAATAGATGGCATTAATTTTAGTGTTGATGCCAAGTGGATGATTTAATTGGACAGTTGATAAATTAAAAGTCAACTTTTGCTTCTTCAATACAAATTTATGACGAAAAGGTGTATTTATTATACCCTTAACTTGTGCCCAACCCTTACTAAAATAATTACAGTTGCAAAATTGAACTGTTTTTTATGTCAAAATAAAGTATGAAAACACATAATAACAGGTTAAATCATAAAAGAAGTCCAGGCATTTATTTTGAGACAACCAAGGAAAGATGATTTGTTAAGGAAAGAATGAAGGGTGCATTTTCTAGGTAAGGCCAGAAGAACAAGAGAAG